CACAAGATTTCAACAAATTATTTTCTCATCGAACATTTTACAAGGAATGGGATATTGCTCGGCAATTTTACAACTCGGTAACAAAAATGAAAGTCGAATTTTGCTACTTGGGAAATGGGATACATTTTATGGCTATGATTGACAGAAATAAAGAAAGTACTGAAAGTCGTCAACACCAATCTTTTGTTTACAAAGCAATTTAATTTTGTGTTTACGAACAACATAATGACTCTGAATATTTAACTATCGTTAATAACAGCCAGTTTACTTCATTTAACATTGATCTTGAAATTGGTCTACAAGTTCTGAAGTATATCTAGAATAACGTACTGAACGGTTACTTAACAGTTCACTAGTGAAGTTTTAAACGTCTCCCAAATTTGGAAATAGAAGTTTTGCTTTGAGGATAAAGTTGCAGACGAGGACATAACAAATTCGTTTGTCAGTCAAACTGGGTAAATGTCTGGAAAGAACAAATCATAAAACCAAGTATTACAAACTATAACATAGAATGTGCGCGAAATATAGTCTTGGGCAAAATCGAGGTTCCGTGTTTCATTCTGTCTATCAGTGTGGTTATATAACACCTTTCAATCAAGAGTCTATCTGCATTTGCCAAATACGGCTTGAGAAAATGTAGACATTGTGATAGTATTTCAGTGTTAATGATAGTGGTTACAAGCCATGATTGACGAGGATTCTGCACTACTTCAACTACTTTACAGAACCAAATTCACAAAAAACAAAAAGAGCCTAATATATAATAACAAGGCAAGAAAACTAGACAAAGATCATTAAATACCTTAGAAAAAGTAACCATAATCTTTCTGTAAAAGAGTGAAATACAAAAATAATCGTTAACGAGTTACAGGTTGTAATATTAAGTTACAGAAGTAAAATCAATAACAAAAAAAATCAAATATAAAAAATAACGTAAATAAATAAAGGAAACACAAGGGAAAGTTAAGAAATCTCATAACCTGTGAGCCTACAGAAGTATAACGTCGCAAAAAGTGGCCCTTGTTTTAGTCCGATGAGATACGTATTATATTTATAAAGAGAATGATATACTAGTAATGAAAGATGAGATTAAGTATTAAGTACACTATAAAATGAACGTTATATTGGCAACACGTGCTGTGATTGAACGGTCGGTGCAGTGTCACACACGTTTACGTCATTCCAAATTTATTCCATTGTGTTTCAACAGCTTTTGAAATGTGTGCACGCTTTCATCAGACGTTATATACAAAAGCAAGAATGGTATCAAGTATGGCTTAAAGAAATGTACATGTAACTGATTCATCAGTGAGCTACTGACTAAATCGACCCCCTTAACTATGTATTTTCCGTGTTTTTGATCAGTTGAAATTCTTAATGAAAATATGGCATCTCTGCAGCGTAGAAAAACAAAGCAAAACATTTTATTTTTTTCTGTTTAAGTTAAACAACTATTATTTACGTATCTCCTAAGGGTTATCTTGTTACCTTTATAATGGAAAGAACATCTAACTTGAACTGGTCAATACAAAATAACAAATTCATCTTCTTCTTCCTTTTTTACATGGCAACCCTTCTGAATTTTTCTTAAACATAATATTATCTGGTGATAGTCTGCACGGTCCGATGCCTCATGGTCAGCTTGTAGCTTCAACCTCTCTAGTGGATTTCTTGAGGCTAACTCTCATAAACTCTGGCTTTGTGGCTTCTGATTCCTTCTGTTTTTCCAAATTCTTGAAGAAAGAACAAGAGCATTAGCATAGGATCAAATCTACACAATAATAATCATCTTGTAATCTCTTCAGGTCAGGGGTTTCATTAAAGGCTGGGCACCAGGTAAATTAGCCAGCTGTGAAGATGATTTTGACCCCCTGGTTTGACCATCTAAAGCAAATTGTTCTTATAAAGAAGTTCAGTTGAAAATGTTTTGCCTGCCTGTGAAAACCAGTTACCCTCCTGATGAGAACCTTAATGAACCCTGTCAGGTACGATTACTGGTAAGTAAGTTACGCACAAAAGCTTCTAAGCTCTATAACTTATAGCTGATCTACTAGAAAAGTATGCTGTCAAGATGATGAAATATTGAGCAACTTTNCCCCCCCCCAAAAGAAAAAAAAGACCAGAGGTAAATATTTGTATGTCTGAACCAAACTAGCATGGTCAAATATGATTGTTTTTCCATTACTTTTCTCATATCAATATGAAAAAAGAGCTGAAAAGGTTGCAGGTCTGGACCACACATTTAAACAGTTCATCTGCAATGGACTGTACACAAAGAAAATTTACAGAATCATATTGTTGCATGAATTGAGTGATTCTGGCAAATATTCATACCCTGACACAGGTGGCATGTTCTAAATTCTAAACTAAATTCCTAATTAGCTCTGGAAATTCCAAAATGCTCAAGCCTGCTTGCCTACAGAATTCCAAACCCCCACAAACCCCCTCAGGAATTTCTGCTTTTTCTTCACAACTTATGTGGAAAGCCCTCAAACTTCCAAACATCTTCATTTATATATGGAAATTTCTCCTTTCACAGACATGTTTCTTTTTTAAAACTCGCAGCTCGACAAATGAGCCATGTAAAGACCTGATCAAACAAATTGTTTGACTTTTTTGAAAAGGAAAACAAAACTCAAAAAACATTTATTATTTACCAGAAAAACTACATGACACATGGAAGAAGACACCAAATTTTTAAGCAAGAGGAGAATTCATGAAAAACATCTAAAAACAAGCTTTGATCCACTTCGAAATTCTTCACCAATTCTGGCAGGCATTCCACAATGGAAGCAAGAGACTGGTCCAAGTTTTTGCTTGCAACCCTTTCAAGACATTTTTGAGTCTGATTTCAACTGGGAATAATGGCAATAAGTGGCTGTCACAACTTTGATGACTTACATTTTTACTCAAATTTTCTAATGTTTTAGACCTTAAGCAAGCAACTACTTGAAATGTGCACAATTACATCATAGGTGAAAATTGGAAAATGAGATGCCATGCAAGCATGATGGAACAATTAATGCTGTTCTTACTACTACTAATTCCTAGCTCTCCTCTGGGAGAATAGGGCTATTGACTTGTTTCCTCCATTCTACTCTGTTTCTCGCCGCAGTGACAGCTTCTGTCCAGGTTAAGACATTATTACTGATGCTCTCTGTACACTATGTACATGTAACATAGCTACAATAATATTTTTATAGGTTGAGACCCCTCTAGTCTGACCTCTCGTACAAAAGCACCTCCTGTAAGCAACAACCAGCAGCAAGCTTGAAATGTGAGGTGATTTCCTACACAGCCAGGTTGTTCAAAGCCCAATTCAGCTAATTGAGGATAAGCAAGAATTTTGATTTCAGTTTTGTAACTTTTCGGAGAGGTTTCAATTTCTGTTTATATTGTTTGTAAAAAATTAATGCTTTTAATCCTGGGTTAGCATTAACAGAGTAACAGTAGCACTAAATGATTCTCACCTCTTGTTTCTGAGAAATACTGCGAAACCTGGATTCTAGTTCACTGTCGCAGTTTTTTTCTTTTTCTGCTTTGACAGACTTCTTCTGTTCAAATTTTTCCCACGTTTTAACAAGTTCTGGTCTGCCCAGCTGAATACCTCTGAAAGAAGCGACATGATCAATTTACATTTATTCTATATGTTCTGGTCAGTGTTTCACTTGGCCATACTCAAGTCACAGTATTTTGAGATATACCGGCTGCATACAAAATTACCTTTTAAATAGTAGTTTACTAAGATAGAAAAACACCAAAGAGATAAGAATAAACTGTAAGGGAACAAGGACGGTTAAGCTAAGGATGGGAAGATCAACACAGATTACAAATCACGAACTTGAAAAATTTAGGCTTCACTTTTCAGGATGCACAAATTGTGTTAAAATGATTACCTTTGCTGGGTAAATTTAAGATCTTTTCGTAATTCATCTTGTTCCTTGGAGGCAGAGAGAGGAGCTGTCATTCTCTTCAGCTCTGGGGTTGTTGGTGGAGTTTGTTTTCCAACATCAAGGTAATCTTCTTTAGGATATTTTGGATGATTCCTTCCTAAAAAAATTACATAATTATAGTCTTAGGGAAGAAACATGTTTATGGAATACAAAACATTCTCAATGATCAGTGCAATTTCTGCTTACATGAGAATGTAGGATTCTAACAAAAATTTGAAGTAGGCTGAGATTGCTATTTGCAGAAGGCAACAATGAGTTTTGAGAACCTCTGGACATTTGCAAGTATATGTACTCGGAAATGGGCATATCATATCTGAACCGCATATTTTGACCCAATGAATTTGAAGCAGAGATGATATAACTGACTTCCTTTTTCTTAAGGTTATCAAATACCTTTAGAGCACCTTTAAAGGTGTCTCGTCTCGTGTCCATTTTGAAGGCTGCTTTCTCAACTGAATGTAATATCGAACATTATGATCATCAGAGCTCCTATTGTTACAGTTTTTGAGTCAAAGTATACATCAGTTCTTATTCACTAAAAAATTGTATCAAATTCAGATGTACATGTTCAAAAAGAAATAAGCGCCCTCCCTTGATCTAACAAAAGTAAATTTATTTAGCACCCTGGGTGCTAAATCAAATCATTAGCTAACTGTTAGTTAATTTATACTTTGATCTGAGAATAACTTTTTAATTAATCAACAAGTGACTACCCTGTAGGAAGGACAGAGCTACCCTTCCCTTTCTACTCGGTGAGAGACGAGAAGGAACCTCCACAACCAGGGATGAATAAATCAATTAAAAGACATTCAAAATACTGATTTTGACAAGTTTTAACTGGTTTATAACTTATGGATTCAAAATGCTGTCTGTTTGGGAGACTGCTGACAATATCTACTGCCCTGTCATTGGCTACAAAATTACAAATGGCATGGCAACACTGCACTGATGTGGGTTTGTCATGTATGCATCAAAATGCAACATTTTGTCTGATGAATAATAATTAGCAATCTTTGATCTTTTGCTATTTGCACAATTCCAAAAACTATTGCTGTACATTAATTCACCTTAACAAGTAATTCACTGTTGAAGGAGTATGATTTGAGGGTTGATAGGCCAGGTATTAAGCTTAAGTTTTTCATAACAAAAATTGTTTATCTGTAGCTAGCTTGCAGTTTGCATTTAGCACACACTCGATAGCATGGTCTTGAATTTTGGTTTGAATTGTCCATTTCTTTGTCGCTCAGTACTTCACAGAACTCTACAAAGTTTCTGTAGTTACTCAAGGCTGGAAAAGTGATGATTCAAGTAATTCCCCACAAATGAAACAAAAAAAATTACAAATTTGGAGTAACATTTTGCATGACATGCTGGCAGGATGGGAAATCAAATTGTTGCGAGCAGAAGTTCCCTCTTGTCTCTAAGCTCGCACAGAGGGGTTTCTCTGTCTCCCAGGGTAACAAGTGACATAAGACCAACAAGTAACATGTAGAAGCATGCTTTGTTACCTGGATGGGGATTTTGTTGAATTTTTGCAGTGAGCTCACATAATGCATCCATTTTTATTTTCTCTGGTTTTGAAGTCACATCCATTTGGTTTAAGGTTAGTGGATCAACTATTGCTACACACTGCAAAACAAAACAAGAAAACTGTTTATAAAATTAATTAGAAAACAGTCCTAAGAAAATATGTGTGCTGATTGGTTAAAAATCGTGTTTCTATAACTTGATAGAAACACAGAACTAGCATGAGCTGTTGGCGCAATGGGAGCGCAAGCAGAGAGAATTTATATTTTGATAATCAAGGTTAACAAGTTGTTTTCCTTTTTTTCGTCGTGGTGTTTTCTAAAAGAAAGAGAAAACACGTTCTCTGTGTTTCTATCGAGTTATAGTAACACTTGTGAACTCGAAAAAGCTGTGGAAACACTCGCCTGCAGCTCATGTTCCCACAGCATTTCTCGTTCTCCCAAACTTCCACTCGTGTTTCTCTCACTCGATAGAAACACAGTACATGTTTTCTATTTCTTAAATAATAAATGTGATGCACAATGAAGTTTTACCTAACAGGATCCATATTACAAATGTCTAACAATTTAGAGTATGTCTACATAATAAAACCTTGTCTCATGGTTTATACTTGAGTATACAAATTTTCATGACTGCCCACAGCTTTCCGAGGTTTTATTCCAAAGGTAGCGAATCAAGCTCTGACATGCTGTCCAATTTTGACATATTTGAAGAAGTCAGCAATCAGGAAATTCTGCTCTGTAAAACAGAGTAGTCAAAACATTTACAAGTAGGTGGCCTTATATGTTGGAGCAGGAAAGATCATAAAGTTGATGATAATTTTTGCTGGTAGCTGGCTACACTACCACCCTCTGTGCAAGGTGGTGTTTCTAATTAACTACAACTAATTCATTAAATGATACTGGCAGCAAAAAATGCACAAATTGTGAACTACAACCAAAAACATTTTGTTTCATAACAAACTATGTCAGAAGAATTAGCAACATGTATCATTTGAGCGTCTAAAGCTACATGTACATGTGGTAACTTCTAATTAACGTTGTTTGCAAATTTGAAACATCAGGCTTAAAAGGATCTTAAATTATTGTAATGAAGCAACACTACAGGGTTTGACATCTGTTCAGCTCTGTCACTACAGCAGCACCAATAAGTTTTAAAATCTACTAGCCGACTCCATACTTGAGCATCATCTACTTAGACATCAGAGACAAAATATCACATGGTACATGACTGGTGCCAAAAAAACCTGAACAGTTTCAAAATCAAGAACATTATGGTCTTCATATGCTAACACATCCAACATTTGGTTTATCACCTTTAAGCTCCTTTTTAACCAAAAATACCAAGGAATATAAAGTCAACAGCCAAAATTTGGAATACTAAATGCGCAACTCTATTAAACCCAGCATCCTTTTAACTGGCCTAAGTATGAGCTACTGTGCAAGTCGAGATGCCTCACCCTGCTTTTAATATGACCACCAAAAGCCCTCCAAGATTTGACTGAACGTTCAATTAAGGCAAAAGGAAATGGAGGTAATAATAATAAGGACGAGGTTGTAATTTGAATAGGCCGGTAGTAAGATGATCTGAGTTTCGACCATACTAATCGGAACAATCACTTTCAGGAGATTAAGAAGTGACCTATGTTTAATTTAGATTGAAGACACAGGAAGCAAGTTAAGGTCAAACCCAAAGGATTTAGGCTGTTTTGGACTCAAGAAATAGCCTGGATAATGAAGAGCATAACTAAAAAAAGGAATCAATAAAAATTACATCAGCTACACATATGAATAAGGACTAGCTAAGACTGATCTGATAAATTGACAAGTCAGGAAAGTCCAGATTCATATAATTTATGTCCAATCACATATATTTGGAAATGACAAGTTATGTTCGACTCAGTGGGAAATATACTATACCATTAATTGAATGGCTGTGACTGCGACAATATAGCACAGTCATGGAGTGAACAACAGATCAGGCCTTAAACAATACTGTTACTTTGCAGTAACACCTGAAAGTAAGATTTAGTCAGAGTACACTTTCACATCACTTTTCAGACCTTCAGCCTCTAAGTGCCTCATTAAAAATTGTATATAATTCCATCAAGATTCTTCACATAGCTCAAATTATCTAATTTCCCTATATTACAACTATAAAAACAATGTTTACCTCTCTCTACGTTAACGTTCATCAGTGAGTATTTTTAAATTATGCAAAACGACCCTTTAAATCTCAGGAGTGAGAAAGATTCAAATTACACACCCTTGTGGCTAACGAACGGTTTCTGTTAGCTACAGCTGGAGAAACAGGCAGCTGGTAGGGTATTACAGAAACCATGTTGGGATCTCTGTGTGACGAATCGTATCTAATTAGCAACGTCTTGGTAGATAAACATGGTGAATCTCTTTCGTTAAACACAATCAAAACAAGACGACAAAATGGCGTTTAGCGCCTCAATTTACAAATCTTAACATGTACAAGAATGTACATAGTTGTCCTATCACCGTATTTTGGGTGTGAACTATTTGAAACATATGACAGTCTTGAGCTAAGCTCAAATACTCGAACATCCATGTTATTGTTTTCAGAGGACACAGGTCACATCATTGTACTTATCTGAAAAATTTGAATTTCAAAACCGCGACCACAGAAATTAAGCTTAAAACAACAAATGGTACATTAATACAACAAAGAAACTATCGGCAATATTATAAATAGAAGCTTAAAAAGGTGCGCATTGAAAGATATTTCTTCACGATATTTCACTTCAGTCGACACGAAAGCAAAATTCCCGCGCTGTAAATTTCGAAACTACGACAGTTTCTTTCGTAAAAAGACAGTTCGTTAAATTATTATTAAAGCACACACAATTTCAAACGGAAGAGCTTACCAAAGAAATCTCGCTGGGTCAGATGGTGTGGTGAAATGTGATAAGAACTATAAAAGTTAAAATTTCCAGAGCAAAAACAAAGCTTCTGTAATATCCTCCCAGACGAATATGACGCGACGACACCCACTGTCAGATACGTGTTCTTTTCACTTTGATTATGTTGACAACATTTCTCGCGAGGCTAAAGCATAAGATTAACTGAGCATTTTGTGCAAATGAAACCCATTAGTTTGATTCGAAATTACACTTTTGAGCGGCTACTGCAAACCTTAAACCCTCATTTCGACGCTCATTTCCTTGTATGAAAGAAAGTAGGCCATCAGAGGCCATCATACGCACCTGTAAACAAACTTGTTGACGTCCTTCGAACAGAACTTTTAACTTCACTTAACAACAAATCAACGCAACTGCTGCTGCCCTACTGACCACTGCAATATGGAATGAGTCCTTGCTGAAGCGGAATCACACTGGTGAATTTCCTTTACGAACGACTGGCGTTGCCAAAACCGGCGATTGAGCAACACAACCTGAAATGTGCATACTTTGAAAGAAGTCCCGCGAGAAGCACTGGGAGTGATTCCTAATTTGGTAACGCGTCATATATTTATTGTTTTGCAAATTTGCGACACGTGCGTATTGATTCAGGGAGAAAAACACAAAAATAGGCAAGTCATCAGAAACCAAAACAAAGAGACACCGCGAAAAACCCCGGGTAAAACCCACCTGGGAAACGGAGCGTGTCACCACTGCTACGCTTGACTAAGAAAAATAAGAGGATGATTGCCGGTATTCCCTATCTAAAAGATAGATCAAGTGCGGTATCTACTGCGATTACAAATATTCAATTTACAAGGCTTAAATCTTAGAGTATTCAAATGTTTTAGCCTCCTCAGAACCACTCGTTTAGCTTCATGTCAGATCTAGAGGCAGATAATAAAAAGCTGAAAGTAATGGCATCGTGTATTAAAAATGCAGCAGAGATACCTGTTTCGTCACAATTTTTAAATGCACTGCGGACCTATTGCGGAGTAATCGTTTCTCAAACACGAACATTTCAATATACTTTTTTTGTATTTTGAGGTTCAGATTCACCGGTTGTCCAATACAACTCTTGGAAGATCAGCACAATATTCAGCTCTTTCCGCCGACGTAGTATCTGAAATTATTATTGATTGTAGTACACAGTCGAAGAACACTCAATTGGGAAAATCACTAGCAGTTCAAATTTCCTCGGACTCTCAATGCTGTAATCAACGAAAAACAAACAATCGTAGTAGCCTTTAAAAGAAATTACAGACTACCCATGATGTCAAGTTCTGTGGTAAGAATTCACTTGGTTATAAATGCGATTGTTGCATCCTATATGTCTCCACATACAAACACGTACACAATGATTGTGCAAATATCGAGATCCCTTCCACAATTATTGCTCAATATGAAACAAGGCTGGACAACAAACGCCAGCGTAAAGACAATACCTGCACCTTATGGTTCGACGAACTTGTGAGAACCTCTCGACTCACAGCTGCATGTAATAACCCTTGTTATAGTCGGACAAATTACGCACTCTATTTCTTCACCCCCACTGCTTGCTAACAACTCAACCGCCCAGACTTCCATGACAAACCTTATCTTTTACCATCATCGATTACGACAATCTTGCAATAATATTTCTATTCAGATGACAAAATATTACGATTATTTTTTCTCACATGATACTGGACTGGTAAATTTAATTTTACCGACCAGGCAATCAGTGGGACTGGCCTGGCGTTCTTGATCTCGGGTTTACCTGTCATAGCCAATATAAGAAACACTAATCGAAATTTTAACGAGGAAACGTAAATGAACGAAGACCAAATGCTTCTGCTGATAATTATGAAGACATATAAATGAGGTTTAAAAGGACAACGGCGGTCGAAAATTTAATGAATTGATGTAGGCGGAAGAAAATTCATGATGTCGTGAGCTTCCCTTTATTCATGTTCTTTAGATCTTTGTGGGCAATCTCGTTTCTCGCCGTAGAAGACTCGGGTCGTTTGTTCAGAGCGACTGTGTAACCGCGATTGTAGCTCTGTGGTGTTTTTAGAGTCAACAGTATGATTGTAAGCAGCCAAGGAAATAAACTAAGAAAACCCCCTCGAAATGGGAAACGAAATCCAACAAGAGGAAAATACTTCTAAATTCTAGTGTGGTTTCCTCCGCTGTTTCCTCGTGTTTGGTCATGTTTGTGCTACTGAGAAGACCAAAACAACAAAAGGCTTATCTTTAATTTATACTTCAAATAAACCGGATTCCGTAAGAGGAGAAGTACTAACATTTCAAGATGTGTAGATATAGACAAAATAAGAAAACAAAAAGTTATCTATTTTACCTCAACGAATGATGAAGGGATATATCCGATTTCGTTACTTGACAAACTCTGAGCTGCCCACCAACCTCCTTCAGCCTTGTAAGTGATTAAGAATTTATCCCCTTTACTAAAACTAAGCAAACTCTCTCCGCAATCATCGCAGTAGTCGTATTTTGCTTCGTAAATTTCCATACTGCAGCCGATTCTTTCCTTTACCTCGAAATCGTGACTGCATACAAATGTTTTGTTTTTGTAGCGTCGGCGATGCATGAAATCGACACCAGTTTGTCGCGCGATGTCACTGTGCGCCCAAGCACTTAGTGACGTCATTGATTGGAGCCAATCATTATCTGTTTACTTTGGCGGAAATTCCTAAGTACATTAATTTAACGCGAAACATTCCAGTCGTTTTTCTTGACATCGAAAGAATGATCCGATGACAATTTTGTAGAACAAAATTACAGTTTACATCATTGTCACATGCTTCTTGCGAGAGAAATTAAGAGCCAGTTAGGGGTCCGTACTACCAGGAGTCATGCATGGGGCATGGGGATTTAATTCTATTTTAATTTTGAACATTAGCTTCTTAACATTTTTTTAAGGAAAAAAACGTATACTCTGAAGAATAACAGTTCAGGTTTCGATCTAGTCATTTTAGCTTTATAAATGTTGCAAGAACGCCTGATCACAGCAATTTTGAAATGACTGTCCCACAGATATTGGTACTGCGGTCTCAAGCATTAAGCAACTATTGTTTTAGGCGAATCTTTGTTTACAACATCAATTCTAAATATCAAAAGGGCATAGCACAATTTATTATTACTTCATTTACCTGTCTCATTGAATTTTAGGGCGATCGGTATTGAATACTCTTCGTATGACATGTATGTATGAGCTCAATAACGCTTTTACAACCCAGAAAGTTTCCCAGTATTTGAAATTCAATTTCTTCTTGAATGTTACATCCAAAGATCCCAAAATTTCAGCAGTTTCCGAGGCTCATAGGCTCTCTAAACATGTCTGGAGTCAATTCGTATCTAGCTTGATGCCTTCTCCACGCGAATTCATGACGTATGTTAATTAATGAGATAAAATATTGACACAATGACGCCAACAACCTTCACTCCATTGTCTAGTTGTAAAATGGAGATAAATACAACTATACGCTCTGAAATCCAGCTATAAGCCCCATATTATGCTTTGTATGGGAGTCGGGTTAAACTTAAGTGCTCTTCTAATCCTGTGCACTCCCTGGTGCTATTCCATACCAAAAATATACTAAAAGGAGGAAACAGCTGTTGGTCGCTGTTGTATGGCTACTAGTCTGTGAACAGGTTCACCAGACGAGGATGGGGCGAAGAGAAAGCGGGCAAAGAGACAATTTTGTAGAACTTTTCGGCCCTTCCAGCCGCGGTCAGACCCTTCCAGCTAGGCTGTTCACAGCCCTATATTTTCTCGTATTGTTATTCCATCGGAGAAGACGCAGATAGACTTGCTTCGCTCGCAAACCGCAACCCCCGAACCCTCGCGTGCTTCGCGCTCGCTTCGCTCGCTTTTTCTTTCGCGTGCGTAAAAAGAGGCTGTGAACAGTCCACCTTCCAGCCGGAGCCTGCTCACTGGCAATATGGCTGCCCAACCGAACAGCACTTTATTACTTTACTGTTAATTGGCCGTGCGCATGCGTAACAGGTTCTGGCGCGATTCGCTTTGCTGGAGGAAGAGCATGAGCACGAAAGTTTGCATGGTTCGTAATGGACTGTTCGTAATACTCATCGGCTTCGTTAAAAGTAGAATTTTTATAACTGAAAGTTTGCAAAGTAGATTACAGAATGCGAAGCAAAGCAAAAATGATCGAGCAGCAGAAAGCGAGGGCGCGGAACGAAGAAAGAGGAAGAGACTACGCATTGACTACGGAGGCATTTTTGATCTCTCGATTTGCCACCTTTGACACCTACTCCATTGATAGTTCTGCTCATGCAGTTTGAAAACAAAGAAACCTCCTTGGCCGGTTTTTCCCGCCCCGTCTCTCTCTCTCTCTCTCATTTGCATATATTTTTTTAACTTTTCTGGTCGCGCGGAGGATTCCAAGAGCAAATTGAAAACCGACTGCTCGTAGTCTACAGTTTTACAGTCGAACTTCCGGTTGCGACCACCTCTCGTAAGCGACCACCTCTCCTCAGCAACCAGTTTTCCAAAATACCAAAAGTTTCCAAGTCAAATCACTATATTTGGAACCTCTTGTAAACGACCACCGCTCGTAAGCGACCGCGACCACTTTTAGAGCTAAAAGTTTGAAAATTTCCTTATTTTTTAACCTCCCGTGAGGGATCACTTGACAGATAATAGAGCGAAAAATGGATAATAAGGTGTTGTAAGTACAAGAAACGGAAATTTCTCAATGGGAAGAACCGGATTTTTTTCTTGAAATTGACTTTAAAAGGAATAAAACATTGCAGCGGCATTGGCGCATGGGTTAAGTCTCGGCAGTTGCCATATTCTAAAGAGGAAAAATTTTGACCCATTAAGGTCTACGCTCTCGTAAGCGACCACCTAGGCTTGACATTTTTTAGGTGGTCGCTCACGGGAGGTTCGAGTGTATCTTTTTGGCGCCTGAAAAGATACAAAACGAAAGCTGATCAAAGAACTGCCTCGTTCATTCGGGGATGGGTGTACTCCCTTACGGATGAACTATGTATGTAGGACTGTGCTTCAATCTGGAGTGAAACGTCTGAAATAGGATATCAATTTGACAATATTTCTCTGAAATGACTGAAACAGGGTATGGTTTTCGTACGGATTTTGGCCGATGAAATTGGTTATGATGTTTAGGCCAAACCAGGAGTCATAACTAATTTTTTACGGAGAAAATCGGGGAATTTTAACTCCCTCTCAACTTTACCGTTTATGCAAATAGAAGCCATTCCATGCATTAGAGTCGTGTACACATTTTAGAGGTCTGAAAAATATTCAGGGTATCCATCTTCAGCTCTTTTAAGAGCTGAAGTTGGCCATGGTCTCGAAAAGGGTTTCTGAGAACAGCACCGAACAACCCTACCAAAGAAGTAAAGAAAGAAAGTGGGAAAGAGAGGGAAAACAGGAGAATTTGAGGGATAACAATAGACTTTTAAACTTGAAAAAACATTTACTAAAGTACAAATTCTAGACGTCTATTTTTCGAATAAAATATGTTGGTATGACACACAATAGGAGCCTAAGATCCCTCTCCTAAACTCCCAAGAAAACTGATCACCTGTTTGAGATTAAGTGCGAGGGTTCGAAAATAAAAGGGTTGGTTTTTCCTTTCTAAAAAGAAAGTAATGCAATACATTATATCATTAAACTGGCCTATTTTTACCTCCTGCCTACGCAAACGTAAATTACTCTTGATTATAGATAGATACTTCATTGAACGGTTACTGAGGAATCGCAAAGTTTTACTACTGAAATACAACTGTAACAAGCAAACTAATTTCACTGGGCAGTCTCTTGCGCAATACGACAGCACCAACTGTGATTGCTTTTGTTTCAATACCACATTAACAGCAGGATTAACAGTGAATTCAACGACAGCACCTATAATTTATTCTTAGAACTTTTAGTAGGATTGAATAAAGTCAAAAGAAACCCCAAACTGCTTGAGATAGCGGGAGTTCCAGATAACCTTGTACGAGTTACCGGGGGGGTATTTTGCCGGTAGATGAGTAAAAAGTACAACCACACGAAAGGCGTTTTTTTTTGGAGACAACGGGAGATTCTAGATAAGCGAGGTTGAGATAGTGAGGTCCTACAAGCTGTTATCCACTTTACCTAAATGATCAAACTAGGAAAAATGAATTGAAAGGCCGAGTCGAACAGTCGCACCGAAAGCAGTTAAGGGAAAAGCCTATAAATTACACTTGTACCTTTATTTTATGCCCACAGGCAAAATCATTGTTCTTAATGAGTTAATGAATTTTCAAGCAAAAAACTGACAGTATCAAGAAATTTTCACTCCAGTTTAGGGTTGCTTTGTTTTGCTCTGTTGTACGTTTTGGACCTGAAAAGTTATCGTACCATAACACACTTGATAAACCTTGTATCGTCAAGTTTGTTAGCAGTTGCTCTGTAAATGTTCAAGATTGACGGACGCTGTTAGAAGGCTCTGCTGGTGGTGTAAAAATGGACGGTGTCCATGTCGTTAGTATTGCCGCTTTATGCTCTTTTGTCTTTCACAGGCAGGTTCGTAGGCGAATGTCAGAAATTTGCGACAAGACTAATATATCACACTGTAAATATTGTCGCCGGTGTTCAGGACATGTTGCCATAATCATCCCTTTAAATGGATCAGTCCCTTGAGATTACAACAGTATAAAGTGCTTTCGCCAAAAACCGATATCAAAGAAACGCTTTTATCCTGGCAGGGGCCTTTGTTAATGATTCGTTCTTTCCCGTGTTGAGGTGATGTATAGGCAGAAAGTACTTCGTTTCATTTTGCCGCCCGCAATAATATAAAATGAAACAGAGATAGCAAAGGCTAGGCAGTTTGTAAAAAGTTCTGCATCTGCTGTCCACAATTGCCTTTGAGCTGGAGGATGAAGGCCCAAGCTGTTGTAGTTTTTGCCGCTCTTCTTCTTCTCACAACTTTAATTGCTGAAAGTAATTGCTGGAGTACACCTTTTCCAGAGGGGAAAAGAAAGTTGGAGGTAAAGATTTGGAACAACTTCTTATAAAATCGTATTCGTTTGAAAATATGATTTGCGGCCTTTTTCTCTGAGCCGACTAGTTTAGCTTTCACTGGCAGAAATCAGCTGAAATCAATCCGCTGAACAAAGCTAACTGATCAATAACTCAATAATCAGATAATAGGAAAAGAAAGTCAACCAAGAAAAAATGAGAAAGGGTCTTTGCATAGAAACACCAGGTTCGTTTTCTCCACAATAAGTCAACATGTAATTAATTTATAATCCGATAAAAAGTTGATTTCTTCTTTGAATTTCTTCGTTTACAGTTTGAGAGAGCCGCAAGTAGCGTTTGTGAAATGGCTAGACGTATTGGATGCGGGGGGATGGAGGGGAGAGTCTTTGAAGAAAAGAAATAGTGATGTATACGTGAAAGAGTGACTGCGCTAATACTACACGAAGATCATTCAGTCAAAATAGGACAGGAACCTTACTATGTTATGGAGGATTACCGTGATTAAGAAATTAAAGGATTAAACCTGTGGTTGTTTTGTGTTTTATATAAATTGTGGCGGCGTACAACGTCAGTCTGGAGGGTGATTAAGGGTCTTTTGATATCGTGAACAGCCTTATTTTTGCCCGTGAAAAGTGAAACGGCTACAGTTGTCAATGTTTTCTAGTAAATTATGATTTCGTTAGTAGCCGCGAACCATGATTTTCAGAATCGTTCAGGCTGTGAAAAAAAGAAATGTTTAAGTCGTCGTGATCCCTTTTTTGACCAAGTTGTCTAATTTTTTAGACACCTGTCATGACGTAAAATTCTTGTATAGTCGTGAAAGGCAATTCGTTCGGTCCTCCTGCACTAGCGTTCATCGGAACACGGTTTTCTTCTTGCTTGTTGTGGACTGAAAAGGCGGGGAAAATGGCGAGGATGTCGAACAAAGGTCTTCTTTGGACCATTGACTTTCAAAATCTAACAAAAATGTCTCTTTTTTTCATGATAGGTGAAATGGCTATTTTGTTTTCCGTGTACGGTGAAAGGACCTATTTATTTTCCTTGATATGCGATCTAGACCCACCCTTCAGTCTGGGCAAAAAGTGCCGTTTTTTAAAGATCCTCGCCCAGTTTCTTATCCTTGTCAATCAAAGAATAGCTCTCTATACATTTTCTTTAATTCTCTGAGCAAAAAAGGTTTTCTTTTAGCCTATTCTATTCTATACAATGTTTGTATGCATTAGATATCAAGTTTTGCAAAGTATGGAAAATCGGGGCCCTACCTGTACGCTTGCGCAAAGCAGACACGAAAAGTGATAGTTGTCTTCACCGTTGTATGAATTTTCAAACTGATCACTCGTAATGCAAATCCTTAATTGCTCGAGCTTTCATACGATAACTCATTTATTATATGACTGATTGCACTGCAGTGTAAATTAAAAATTAACGATAAATTTGCCTGCTCTCAGCCAATCACAATGAAGTAAATTTCTCAGTTATATAATAATTACCAAAAAATGCTCCGTTTTCCCAGTGTGGCGCGCATACTCAAGTGGACATAAAATGTTTAAGCAAGCGACCGGAACGATGATCCTGCTGGTATGCGTTGGATCAATAGTGATCTAATCGGCTTTACATATAAAATGAAGAATACAAAAGCAAAAACCGACACAACGTAGAATGATTTTCTGAAGGTGTACTATATTTCGGCTGGCCAAACCAGCCTTCTTCAGGTACAATGGAAGATTTTACATTGGTGCGCGTTTTTATGTAGCCGATATTTACGTAATACCGGAAATACGCAAAAGTAATAGATGGTGTAAATTGAAGATAAGCATACGGTAAAATAAAATAACATGATAAAAGAACATAATAAAAGAAAACAAATGGAAAC